TAAAACTGCATTTAAATTGTATTGATCGTTTATTGTTAGACATAACAGCATTGCTCATTCTTTTGTGAAAATATTTTGAATTCTTTCTGTTATCTGATGCTATTGCAGTAGTTAGGAATGCTCGATGCAAGTTTACTGAACACCGATTGACACTGGCAGTGACGCTCAGTGCACACCGATAGGTTCAGTGTCACTGGTGACGTCAGGCACACTGAATTAACATAATAAAGAGAAATGTGTTTTATTGAAGTCAGTGTGCCTCACATCATCAGTGACACTAAACCTATCGGTGTACACTGAGCGTTACTGTCGGTGACAAAAGTGATAGTTTTTTCGATGTTGTCGCTGACACCGTCCATCCCTAGCTATTAGTAGATAAACGGATGCATAAAGTAAAACAGAATGAAACGATAAAAGAGGTTAAGCACCAGATTGTTACATGCCCATGGCTCCCACTATCTCAGTAGAAGAGTTTTGAAATTACATGATTGCTCTTTATCCGATTGATTCAACGACTTGAAAAAGTTAAGTGTTCTTTCTGTCGGGATCCCCCCCCCCCCTCTATGGACGTGCCGATGATCTTCGTGAAATATGCAACTCATCCTTGCTTGCAAGCTTTCTTAACTATATATGATATTAACTAACTAACAGCCGTATCATGGTTTCTCTCTATTTTTTTTACTCACCTGCTCATCACATTCCGACTTCGGTATATTGTTGTACAATGATTCCGGAAGGATTGTTTTGAGAAAAGTCATGTGAGGTTGAGAAGCAAAATCACATTTTCAAAAAAACGTAATTCTCTGACTTTTCTCTTGCTTGATATTGATAACTAATGTGTTGTTAAACATTGCTGTTGCGACGAAATATTCTTTTGTTGACGTAATTCTGTGTTCTACTGAATGGTTTTTTGCTTTTTAATAGTACGAACATTTTTTTGTGTAAGCTTTTCAAACATATTGAGTATCAGGCAAAATTATTTGGTCATTACTGGAAATGCAAAGTGAGTCTAGAAAGTCTATTGATAGTCGTTGCTTTCAATCATTCTTTTTGCCGCACAATACTGTTTTAAAACGAAAAAGGGACTTCGAAAGTTAAAAACTGTTTTGCTCTTGTCTCGAAATTAGCCTTTTCGTTTTGAGCTATTCATATAAAGATGGGTTCTCAGTCACTTTAAATGCTGTAATACACTGAAACGTTGAAAATGAAACAAAATCTCACAATTATGACTAAACAAGACTACAGGGTATTTTTTTCAGTTGAGTGGCAGAGGTGATACACTTTAATCCAGTGCTTTAAAACTATTCGTAATTCTTTTAGCACTTTTTTCTGTGAGACTTTGTTAAAACCGCAACACTTATTTCGTCACTGACATTTTATTAAATATTAACTGTTGTTGATAGAAACTGTCGAGCATTTGACTAAAAAGCTTCGTTCGCTGTTAACATAGAAACATAAGAAAAGAGCAACTGTGTGACATTTTCATTAAAGTAGTAGTTATTTTCTAGAAAACAACAAAAATAAAATCTGTCAATCTATCATAAATTGAACTATTTCACATATGAGGCTTACACAAAGATGTTGCCATTTGATGCATAGTAAGCTTAGTCTTTGCAGACGTCGTTCTGTCAATCTTCTCAAGGAAATGTGTTCTTTTTAGTAGCTTTCGTTTCATTCCTAGAAGATGTTCAACTAAAAGACAACTATGAACAAAGAACGTTCCTGCTCTCACAAGACTACCGTTTAGCAATTGGATATGAGTTCGAATTTGAACACTGTTCATTGGTTGCTGTATCACAGTTTATTGTCTTACAGTTTCATAAGAGAGTTGATATAGCAGAGAAGACTCAGAATCAAGTGAAATGAAAGATAGTTCAACAATCATACCCTAAGCGACATTGTGAATCGGTAGCACATCATGCTTCTCTTTTTGACTAAACTTGACATCGATGTCATCAGCATGGACATTGTCTTGTGCAACTTTGATGGATTCACATTGTTTGTTTTTGTTCAATAGAACACTGTAAAAAACCACCCGCAGAATAATCAAACCTTGCCATAAAAAAAACTTTTTCATGCATTTTTAGGAGATTTATGCCCAAAGAGTCGAATGGTTTATAACAGTAAGGGTTTATGAAAATGAGAAAAGTATATGATGTGTATTTAAGCATTTATTATTCTGCTCAGAAGGATAAACTATTTTACTTTTCGAGTAATATGGCGATTAGTCTATAAGTTTAGCCAAAGGATTCACTATTCTACACAAAAGAGTAGCTTGTTCTACGATTTAAAAAAAAGAGTTTATTATTCTTCCCATAAGGGCACATTATTCTACGTTTTTGTTGTCAGAATCTACACATAGAGGTAGATCACTTTACACTTTCTTCAGCAGAGTTGATTATTCTAGACACAATAATAGATTGCTCTACGGTTTTTTTATGAAATAGTCATTCTAATAATTGTCCAGCATTTTGTGAGACAATAATAGAACAAGGCAATTCAGTTGTCTTTTTTTGTCTTTATTTAGTTATCACGATGATTCTCTAGCATCTTATCACAGAAACAGAATAAAATGATTTCATTTGATTTTTTTCTTGCTCATTCATGTATCTCTGTCGGTTAAAATAATCCTATGTAAGAATTCGTATAGGTTACCTTAGCTAACTTTTCTGACTCTTCATATAGTTTCCTTGAGAGTTGTTGCACATTTTAAGCAACACAACCAATAAGTTAGTTCACTCTTCTTTTTCTCTAACACTTATGCCGATAATTTTCCTGTATCTTGCAAGAGAAAATCAGGGAATTAATTTAGTTTGCTTTTCTCTTTCTTTATTTAGTTTTCCGATTACTGGCACTCACTTTAGGAGGAAAATGGAGACGGAAAAATAACTTCCCTGCCTTGTTTTCATTTAATTATTGCGATAACTGTCCACCATCTTATCAAAAAATCTAGTAAGTTAGTGTAGCTTAATTTTCCTTTTTTAGTCATAGTTGTTCACGGCGACATGAAAAAAATCAAATAAAGGCGTTTAGTATGGTTCTTTATTCTATATATAGTTCTGCTTATAGTTGACGGGTATCTGATGAGCAAAATGGAATAAGTTCGTTCATATTTATGCTATTTTCATTATTCGCTTTCTAGATAGTTACTCAGCCTTTTGTGGGCGAAACTAGATTAATATATCCACATTATTTTTATTTTTTTTGGTTTAGTTATCGTGATAGTTTTCCACCAGCTTTGGAGAATAACAAATTAACTGATTGTTACGCTAATTTCCTTCATCTTAATTTATTTGTGATGAGAGTCCTGGAGTGCTTTATGGTCGATAAGAAAGGCAGTAGTTTATTTATTTATTTATTTTCTTCTCTCCAGTCAGGCGTTTTCATATTTTTTGCAACATGTTGTGAAATGAGTAGAATGAAACAGTTCCGTCTCGTTTTGTATTTGCACGCAGTCTTATGCGTTACTACATTCGACGAATGATTCAGTACTATGAGATTTTCAACTGTTTTGATAATTTAGGGATCGTTTCGGTGACTGTCTCGTGAATGTTGTGTAGCTCATAAAATAAAGACTTTCGTTTGCCGCCTCAGAAGCTTACTTTAGGTTAGTGATCGCTCTGAACACTTTCGTATAGGACTTCATACACTCTTTCATAAACTTCTGGTACGAACCATAATGCTCATGAACTGTCTCACATATACATTCAATCAGTGATTGTCAGATTATTTCACAGCGATCAGAAAGTTCATGTACACTCTAAAAAAAATTCGTTTTCTCTGAAACTCAAACTCATTTGGAAACTGTTCTCTAAACCTATGAGAGTATCCAGAAAGGTTTCCAAATCCATATCNAACAAAAGAAACAATCATCCCAAATAATATAAAGTAATGTGCAAAAAAAGTATCAGCTCAATTGGAGGTACTAGAGGTCGAAGAAACATTTTTTCTTTCATGAAAAACGTGATTCGCTATATGATTTCTACTCGAAATTTCTAATATTTAAAGACAAGTTTCTTTTTTAGGTGAAAAATTTTTTGAATGATGAAAGGGAGAAGAGACATCCTTATTAAGAAAATTCAAAGTGTTGATACATCGCTTGAATTGTTTTAATCTTAATATATCTTTATATTGTTGCGCTACTGTATACCGGATGAGTGATAATGATTGCAACATTTAGTATTTTGCAAATATCTTAGCAGGGATAAATCGTATAAACTTGATTCTTTTTTGAAAAGATGCGCCATGGAAAGCTCTACAAAAGTTGTAACGACAAATCTCTATTGACTTCTTCTGATAGTGTCTCCCATATTGAAAATGAATAGGTCACATGATGATGCTATGTCCCACAGTGTTAAATATTTGAAAGATTTTTTTTGTTTTGAAAATATCTCGCCTTGAGAAAATGGCAAAACCTTCACTGTTTGTTCAGAAGATGCGCCGTCGAAAGCTGTACAAAAGCTATATGAACAACTTTCTATTGCAAAACAGAAAAGTCTTTCAAATATTTAATACGATGAGACATAGCACTATCATGTGAGCTATTTGTTTTCAATATGGGAGACACCATCAGAAGAAGTCAATAGAGATTTGTTCTTACAATTTTTGTAGAACTTTCCACGGCGCATTTTTTAAAAAAAGAAACGAGATTATATAATTCATCTCTGCTAAGATATTTGCAAAATACTAACTGTTGCAATCATTTTGACTCACCTGGTATCTAAGTAAATTTGGTCTAATCTATATTTGAAATTCTACTTGTAAATAATTTGTTCAAGATTAATCCATAATAAGATCGTGCTTTAATTGTAAGAGAATAGTTTTTCTGTATATGATAACTAGTCATTTATAACAATTAGAGATTTTATAAAGAAATAAAATTAATTTTTAACTATGTACATGACATGCTTATATCTGCTAGTGTCTGAATGATATTTTTTTTTAATTTGTAGTATCATGATTACAAGTTCGAAATAAAGATTTGATCTTACTCATATTAGTTATAAATTCTGAGTAACTATCAATATATATATTTTTCTATTTTCTATTGGTAATATTTTAAAGTACGTACAATTATTTTCTCCATTAAATGATATCTGCACAGTGCATTCATCTGCAGTTTCAGGTATAAATGAAATTTGATAAATATGAGTAGAAATTTGTGTTTGTTCATGTAATACTTTATTTCCATTTTGTTTTATTTTAACAGATAAAATACCATTACCAGCTTCAATTGTATTAACTATAGACAAAAGAAAAAAAAAAAGGATTTTAAAATTCATAAGACTTTCATAAAGTAAAAGATAATTTTACTTGTAAATGTATATGGTTGATGAGTAATAGCAAGTGATAATTCACTCAAACGTATTTTACTTGTATCGTAAACTTGACAAATAAATTTTTTTATCATTAATTTTTTTTCTTCATTATCATAAAATTTTATTTCATGTTCACCAATTTCATGTGGTATAAAATCAATTGTATAAGAATTTGTGGAAATTTTTTCAATTGTTCCTTTTATTTCATTACCAGATGGTGTTATTATATCAACATGAATATTTGAATTAAAGTTTAATTTTGATTTGATTAAAAATAATGTTCGTTTATTAATTGGTGCATATTCATAATTTTCAAATAAAAATTCATTTGAAAATACATTACATTGAAAAGGTGATCCTATTTAATAAAATATCTTTTGTAATTGACAAGGAAATATTCTCAATCGTCAAATACTGATCGATTTTATTGATTGTTTATATGTAAAATCCGATGCGACTACTATCCGATTCAAAATAGAAGATGGGTGAAAAAAACTGTAATAACTCCGAAACGGAAAAAACTACTATTTTGCTAGTTTTCCAAAAGGGTTTTCTGAAAACTTTCAGGTTTTGGGGGAGAAGGAGTATTGATTTTTCACGTTTGAGACCTGAAATCAATAGCAGAGACATTTTACTACATTTCTACGCCAGTCCCACAATTTCGTGACTTTGCATTAGAAAACTAGAACTTGGGCGCCGAAAGCTCCAAAAGTGTCATTTTCAGGGGTATTCGCGACTTTTCGACGCCTCATCAAAGTCAAATCGCCAAATAGAGTGCATATTCAGAATCAGCAGGCAAAACTGCGTCGAATGATACGTCTTTCAGCTTCATTTGATGACTTTCATTTTTGTCACTATACTATCATACCGATATGTGAGATCATGGCATGTATATGGTGGAAAAATGAAATTCATCAAATGAAGCTGAAAGGCGTATCATTCGACGCAGTTTTGCCCGCTGATTTTGAATATGCACTCTGTTTGGCGATTTGACTTCGATGAGGCGTCGAAAAGTCGCGAAAACCCCTGAAAATGACACTTTTGGAGCTTTCGGCGCCCAAGTTCTAGTTTTCTAATGCGAAGTCACGAAATTGTGGGACTGGCGTAGAAATTTAGTAAAATGTCCCTGCTATCGATTGCAGGTCTCAAAAGTGAAAAATCAATACTCCTTCTCCCTCAAAACCTGAAAGTTTTCAGAAAACCCTTTTGGAAAACCAGCAAAATAAAAAATAACTTTTTTTTTCATGATTTTTCGACGTCCCCCAGGGTCCACTTTCGAATGCAAAAAACCACTTCTCGCTAGTTTTTTCCGTTTCGGAGTTATTACAGTTTTTTTCACCCATCTTCTATTTTGAAACGGATAGTAGTACATATCTCATAGACAAAAATATAAGCACAGCAACGTTTTTAATTATTCAACATCTCAAGAATGAATTGTGTTTTTTTTTCAATGAAATTTTTAAATCGAATCTATTAGGTTTGAATACTTTCAGTCCAACATATAGACAATCAATGAACTTGATTGATGTGTGACAGTTGAGGAAGTTCTCTTGTGGGATTCTTTTTACCTTGTATATGAATGCCATTAAATTTAATTTGAGCTTGATGCATACATGCTTGATCAGGAATAAATTTAATATGAAAACAAGTACTGTCTTCATTTTTTACATAATTGGGAATATTTTTTCCATCTCTTGATACAGCTATTTCAAGACTACCGGCACCAGCATCCGTTGCATTGACTAAATATTTGAAAAACACAAAAAACATTTTTTACTAAAAAAAAAACACTAAATTAAATATTATTTACTAGTAAAATAAGCTGATGAACCAACAACAGCTGATGATGGAAAATTAAGAATTTTGATTTGATTAACATCAAATGATCGAGCTATGAATGGACTATTGTCAATTGGAATATTATCATAAAAAATTTCTATATAAAATTCACCTAAAAAGCAAAACAATAAATTTATTTCGAAAAATAAGAACAATTCTGTAACTAACTGACCAACATGATCAGGTGTATATGTAACTTCATATCGATTTACATCAATTTTTGTTAGAAGACATTCGATTAAACGATCATTCGGTCCTGCAAATATTTATATATTTCATTTTATTTTAAATAATAAAATAAAAGAATTCAATTTAAACTTACAATATGTTAGTATTTTACTATATAAAAAAAAAATTAGAAATTTTCAAGACCATCACCAAAAAAAAGAAATCGTATATACTACACCTTTTATCGAACATTCTGATTCTCCGATATCATCATCGGGTGTTAAAATTGTAAATGATGTTGGAATATTGATTGGAACTGAACCGAGACCTTTACCAATTGCAACTACACGTTGTATTTCCATAACATTTACAGAAAATGGACTTCCTAAATTAGTTATCAATTAATTTTATATTAAAGACAATCATTATTATCAATTTTTTTTAATGAATATAAGAAAAGTGAAGTAAAAATTGATATTTTATTAACAATAAGCGAACATACAAAAAAATTTTCATACAAATTAAAAATTAAATTGTTTCGCTCAACTATTCATTCATTTACTTTTTCTCGCTTAGTACAGTTGATGAGCTTGAAAGAATGGTACATATGTCCAATTTCACTTTTTCTTTTCGTTTTGCCTCGTTCACTTATACATTAGTATGCCTATGTGACAAAGTGTATTACTGTACATCTATGACAAAAAGAAAATATTCACTAGTAATCTCCTTTAGTTAATTATATACTTTGAAAAGTCATTGATTAAATCGCCATAGGTTATAGAAAAAGATTTATGTTTACCATTAGTGATATCTATATATAGAATAAAAGCGTGAAAAAAAGTAACCTTGTCAATCTCAAGTATACATACTAAATCGATCATCTGTCTTTTTATCCATATATACAAAGAAAAAGATATCTTTCTATGTCACTTTTGATTGTTATTAAATGTTTACAACATTATTTACCTGACACATGTTCATTATTGAATAGAATATTACAATAATGTACTATTGCTTTGTGCGGAATAAATTGAACTTCGAAACGATTATTTCCAATCGGATTAATTTCATTAGGAATATTACGATCAGAATAATTAACACTTATTTCGAGATTACCTTCACCTGCTTTTGATACATCGACTATTTTAAAGAACGAAATAAACAAATATGTATAAACTTAATCATTTTGTCAATAAATGATAATATCAACTCTATTCTACTTACGGAGAAATTTTGTTGCTTCTCCAATAGTACTATCATTTATTGGTGGTGTAATAATAACTCTTTTTGGATCATAACATTTCACATAAAATGGACTTCCAGGTATTGAATAACCATGTAATATCATATGAATTATATAAGTTCCTATTTCTGATGGTATCCAATCTACTCGAAGTCCATCTGAAGTTAGAAGTGTTGATGGATCTAATTGTTCGTTTGTTGGTGTAAATATAGTAATATGTAAATCAGATAAATCAGCATGTAGTATATCAATTGTAAACCACGTTTCAGTATCAACTAATATTGGTTTAAGACTAAGACCACGAATTATTATATTATCAGATGTAATAACTTGACATTGTTTTGGAAATCCTATGAAAAAAAAAAAGGAAATCAATCATCATGTTTAATTTATTGTTGATTAAAAATTTTTATCTACCAGATACATGATGTCCATTAAATTTAATAGAAATAATATAAGGTTCATTTAATATTGGAATAAATGTAAAATGAAATTTTGAATTTCCTAATACTTTTACTTGTTTTGGTACTTGACCATTATTAATAGCAACTTCAAGTTGACCTTTACCGGTTTTTGATACATCAATAGTAAATTCTACTGGTTGATTAATTATTAATAAACGTGGAATATCTGAGATAACTACACAACTTGTATCATAAACAGGAAATGAACATGATGAACCATATATTTCCATTCTTTAAGTCAATTCAACATTCACAAGATATAAACCTAATAAGAAAAGAAGAAGAAAAAAAAAAGACAGAAAGAAATAGATATACATTGGGATAAATGAAAGTCAGACTGATATTTTTCTTTCATAGTCTTTTTATCTGATTTATAGCACATACATATAGGTGTGTTTATATGCATATTAAATGATGATAAAAAAGAAAGATGTGCCATTATGGTATATAAAAGATGAACATATAGAAAGATACATGTGTAGGTCCTTGATTTTTATATACTACTACTGAATCGTATGTTACATCAATCACGAAACGTAAAAAATTAATTTTTTTTTCCTAGGATGTAGTTTGAATAAATTGAACCTTGTCAAACTTCATACGTTAATTATGTTCAACAAAGTGAATGTTAAACAATAACTTGCTTTGATCACTTTATCCTTTCGTACGAATATCAATTGATGTGTTGACTTAGCCTTTTATATGAATCTATTATCTGATCCATTCATCGATTTCATTGAAAGTATAATCAATATACGTATATATATAGAGAGATTCTTCTCATTCAAATGTGATAATTTAAATCAAGACTAAACGAGTCGATGAACTTTTGAGTCGAAAAAAAAAACAAGCCACAATTGATAAGATTATCAAAACAAATATCCTTACTAAGTATATAAAAATGATTATGAAAATCAAACGCAAAAATTTATGAAATACATTAACCGTTATGTCATGATGTGCGTGGGAACTCATCATAAAGTATAAACTCTATTCACATTTATATGCATGAAGTATTGCGCATATTCACGCTTCATATTGTTGGTGAATATGAGGACATAATAATAATACTTTGTAGAGAACTCACACTTGTGCATACAAAATAATGTTAGAATGAACTACAAAAAAAAAAAACGAAGTACGTAACAATAAATATACATGAACACGCAAGAATTTTTTCAGATCTAAGATTCGAATATACATAATTAGTTTTAGAAATACGAACTTCTTCACCATTTGATCATTAACATACATTAAAAAAAAAGTAATAAAAACTGTTGAATATAATGATCATCTGACAACTACGAAGCACGTGTGAACATGAATATTAATAACTATAGATAAATTCAACAAATTGAAATAGATTTTTCAGTCAATATAGTGTGAATAAATGAAAATAATTTCATTTTAATGAGAAATAAATAAATATCCCTAGTGAATGTACTCACCAAGAGAGTACTCAAAAAGTACTCACGCTAGAAAATGCCGCGAGAACTCATGAGTACTCGTGCATAGGGCCTGAGTATCTGAGTACGACTATTCAGTACTCGCCCTGTAAAATCGAGTGTTTTGCCAGTACTCATCATACATTTTCTGAGTACTCTGATGGATTTTTGTAAAATACTCATAGATCTATATTTGGTTCTGCAACTTTGTGCTGCGTTCAATTTATTTAATTTAAAAACTGACGATAGAACAGTGATGTACATGATAAGAATTTCAGAAACGAAGTGTTTCATAATCTTAATATGACATACATAAAAAAAAATTTATCAACATAATGTAAGAAAAACGAAATGAAAATCTGTATTGAGAACACTGAAGCATTTGTAAACGCAAACACAAATGAAAAATAAATTATTGATCAAGTTATTATATACAATAACAAAACACATTTACATTAGATCTTTACAAAAATATACGAACATTTTAAATTGCAAACTATATTCATTAAGTAATGAATAAAAAATTTAGGAACTGTCTTTTGTATGATAGATGCTTCTTTAGAATATTGAATTTTATGATTTTGTGAAAAAAATTCTCATTCGCCTTGTTTCATTAATTTTCCTAAAAAAAATCACATTTTATCTAAAACAATATTTCATCTTTGATTTAATATATGAAATTGAACATATAGCTTTATATTTTCATTTCAATATTTAGTCTTACTCGAAAAATGAATAGCTGAAATGAAATGAATTTTTTTTCTATTCTTTAAATAGCCAATTGATTAAGCCACATGAGTGACTCATCATAAAATATGGAGGATAAAATTGATAATTTATTTTAAAAGTTCTTTCGTAATTTTCATTTCATTATTTGGTTGTTCTTAATTACGCAATATTATTTTATTTTCATGCATTCAGGTGCCTAGATGTTTTGTTGAATGTCTTCTGAAAAATGACGATGAGTACTACCTCGAGTACTCGTATTTTCGTGTACGAGTAATTCTTAGAGAGAAAACTCATTGGAGTACTCATCATAGTACACGAAAAGTATAGTTACACATAAAATTCACCGAGTACTCACTCGAGTAATCTGAGTACTCATGCTGCAAAGTCGTACTCGCTGGGCGAGTACTTTCACTAGGGATAGTATTAGAGAATAATAGTGATTCAGACAAATAAGTTAGACAAATAATAAAAAGGAATAGTAGTTTAGAAATTATGAGCAACTCTCTCTAATTATTGTAGTAACGTTTCCTGTCTTGAGAATGCGCCTACTGCCTCCCCCCTTATCCTCACTCTCACCCTCACCCTTCTCCTCATTCTCAAGATACAGTCAGAGTTCGAGCTTCTGTTTAGGAAAAAACTTTTGTTCTTTTACTACAAAATTTTCGACTAATTGTCGGGTCGACCAATTTTCGTATCGAGCAATTTTCGCTTTTCCAAAATTTTCTAGTTAGTCTAGGAGCAAATTGATAACCATTATTATTCAGTGTAAACACGTGTTGCTTGACGTAGCTGTGAAAAAATGCAAAAGACCGATTCGGATAGCAAACGGTTGTATTCGGTTTTATATCTATCAGCGACATACACAAACTACTGGTAGCTGAAAAATATTCATCCGTTTTCGACAGATCGTCGAAATTCCAGTAATTATCAAATTCAACAAGGCAATAAATGCTCACATCCGATGGAACAGTTCGTAGATGACGGTTAACAACGACAGATGGCTTAAAACAAGTGACATTCCGTTATTCATTTTCGAAATTATGCAATGCTGGAAAAGTGTATAAGAAATGACGATCTTTTGCTGCAAATATAAGGTTCATACAACAGAATGACGCCCTACAGTAACAAACGATGTCATCGACTGCAACAATTAAAATGTTTATTTTGTTTGATGTATGAAGGTTGCGTACGTGTTCTCTTCATTCAAATCCACAACAGCAAATTGTCATTTCATTCAGATAAATATCCATTCATTTCATCAAAATATTTGACATGTTGCAATCATTAAATTTGAAATAAACTTGTTTTTCACGTGTGATATACAATAGCATTCATTTACCTAGCAAGATTAAAATAAAACTAGAAACATATCGAGATATTGGGAATCGGGAAGTCAAACACATAGAATAATTAGTATCAAGTGTAATCAACTCAAATGATAGTTTTTATATAATATTCGTTCGTGCACACTTAATCAAACTCTGGAAATGGATCCTAGTATATTTCACTTAGCCTTAATTTGATCGAATAATGAAGAATTGTTTTCAAGTGAACGTCTCTATTGTTGCATATGCTTTTGCTTCTTCAAAACTATTGAACTTAGTTTTCACCAACAGATGATATAATATCTAGAGAGTTTATTTTTAGAAAATTCATCAACTCTGAAAGAAGTTTTGAGAATTAACTATTTTTTTTAACGATACCTTTGTTGTTGTCTATTTTCACGGATTTTCGTAGAATTTAAACATACAACACTAAAATAAATAATGAACACAAACAATAGAAAAATCTATTAGAAAATAGGTCTGAAGAGCGTCTTCAGAAGTTCTTCTAGTTAAGTAATAGTGAAAGAAGATGTTATAGTATTGATAAATTTTTGTCGAATTCGTCATATTTTGCTTTATTATTATAAACTATCTGACAGCTTCATTATATTACATAAGCGGCAAAGAAATCATATTGAAAAACAAGAGCATAGTAGGTCTTTGTATCGTTTATCTAAACTTTGATCGAAAGTAAAAATTTTGAAAACAGAGGTTGAAACTTCGGAATATTTTTTCTTTCGAAAAATTAAAACAACCAAGCAGCTCAATTTGAATCAAATGTTTATTATTGAAAAAGAGAAAAAATGAAAGACCAACAAAATATCCCTGAAATATTAGTACATCGACCTTAAATAATGTTCTTGTTATACAACCATAACTTACTTTTTTGTTATGATTAAAGACCAATCCGTTGAAAAGATCGGATGCGGTAATGATATAATTACTATATCGATTAAACGTGTTGATTCAACTTTCTAGTGGTTTTTCTGCTCCGATGTAAATGTTAGTGAGGGTTCAGATGAAGATTACACTGGCACTCACAGTTTCATCTACATTCAGTCACACGCATATTTTCTACTCTCGACGTTGTCTACTTTCAACATTTTAGCTTCGACATTTTTACTTTCGATCAAAGTTGAGTGTGCTCTTTGTATCTGATCAATATTTTTACCATGTGCATGATAAGTTCATACATATAGTTTTATCATTTGTCTAATAAATCAAACATATACAATAAGACTCGAAAACAAAATGTTAAAATATGTGAAATTATATAATATTAAACCTAAAATACACGTTTCTTATTGAGCATCTTAACAATGAAAAGAAACGTTTAATATTTTCTTAAGATTTCTATGAGTTTGTATAAAATTAGGTTTTCACTATTTTATCGATAACATTAAAAAATCTCTCCATATATTAGCAATCTATTATTTACAATCATAGTAAATAATTTATAAATATTTATTCATAACGAACACAAACCAGACTATATATTATGTGCTGATGATGTGTCTTGCAAATTCATGATATATCGTTTTTGTTTTCTTCTAACAATGCAATCCCATTGTGTAACATTTAATTACGGTACCAGTTCAATGAATCCACTTTTGCCTTAACTGGCGATAGGTTTTTTAATATACTAAAAAGATCAAGGTTGTTATTTGTATGTTAATGTTCCATTGTATTGTTACTAATCAATTTTTTGAAGTTTCATACATTTTTAAGAGTCCAGTTTCACTGTTAAGTATAAATTAAACGAAGCATTTATTCAAGATACTTTCATTAGAAAAAAACATCTTTTTATTTCTCAATTCGTATTGATAAACGAAAATGGATAGCAATTGTAAAAAAAAAAGTAAAAAGAAAAAAACAACTTCTTATGTGTTAGAAAAAAAACATCAAAAGATTTAATGCACAACAAACATACTTCTCACCATATGTCAATAGAGAGAAGAAGGTATTTGTGTTGACGACAGGCAAAAAAATTTAATCATTAAACGTCCACACTTGTTCCATTTCTTTTTCTTTTTATTCTAAGTTCGCATGACATCACGCGACGATTATCGATATCCATCTAATGTGGATAGAAATACAAAGCAATCAAATGGCCATATACAACCTAATGATAGTCTTCGATATAATCCATGGGAATTTGAAAATCCTTGGTCGCACAATTTATGTAATTGTACAGAACAATGTGATGAAACATGTTATGGCTTATGGTGTTTTCCTTGTTTTGCGTGTCATCTGGCTTGGCGTATGAATGAATCTTGCTGGATAACTTGTTGTCTACCTGGTTATTTGGCTGTGTTAAGAACCAAAATGAGAACAGCATTTCGTATTAAAGTATAGTAAATAAGGACGGAAACAAAAAAAAATTATTATTTAGAATATTTTTAGGGTTCATATTTTTCTGATTTTTGTGCTGCAGAATTTTGTCCATGTTGTACAGCATTTCAAATGGCTAGTGAATTACGTTTTCGAAGAGTGCTCAATTAGCATCTAAAATGGTGTATTTTTTTTGTCAATAACAACTGTCTTCAAAGAATTTATCGTAACAATAAATTAAAAATATGGAATGTTTTTTTTCCTTTTGATATATGAATTATGCATGAGATTATAAAAATACGTACGAGATGCGATCTCATGCATGTCTTCTTATCTTTTTTTTATTCAATCTGAAGGCGTATACTCAATCAAAATTAACAGGCTACGAAAATGAAAAGATATCAATCTTTTGCTTATATATATAAATATATTGCTAGAAGGCAAATGTTCAACTAAGTTTTATAGCATACGAGTAACGTCGATGATGATGCTAATAATAACGGAAGTGCTTCAACGTCTTGTCTATTTTTCTTTTCAGAGTCGTTTCTATTTAGTATTCAAGGCAGTCATGAACTTTGCAATGCATAGCCCAGAATAAATCGTAATCTTAGTATGTTGTTGATCTCTCAGTCATTTTTTATTTCTCATGCTTTAGTTTCTTTTCTAAATGATTGACTTTCTTATTTCTTACAAAAACTTTTGTAATATTCAACAAATACTGATTCCTTCATCATAAGAGTCAAATCATAATTAAAAAGCAGCATTATACACAACTTTTAAAGTCTTCATCTTTTTTTTTACTTTCAACTTTCCAGAAAACATTTAATGCTTGAGGTGATTTTCCTGTTTTTTTGTTATTGTAATATGTTCATCATTGAAGAAAAGAATCAACAGTATCAAAGTTGATTTGGTGTATTCATTAAATCAAGAAGGTATCATGATGATAATGAAAAAAAAACCTTTTTTAGAAAAGGATGTTTTCTGAAAATTGAAAAGACAATGAAAATTTTTAAACATATTATACTCAAAGATGTAAAGATCTGTATTTATTTATTAAAACATATCCTTTCGTGTAGAATAACACAGGAAGCCTTTCGGAAGAAAAACCTCAAGTCTAAGCAATAAAAACTGACTGAGGAGCGATCAGTAAAACGCTAAGACTACCGTTTATTCTAGACTACCCATTTATACGAGAAAAGAATGAGAAGAAAACTATCTGTCATTCCACGTCTCGCATAGTACTCATTCGATCGGTTGAACCGAACGATAATTAGTACAAATCAATGATCGATTGTATTACGATTTAGAAAGTAGTATTGAAGAAAAAGAAAAAATTTACTTAAATTAAATCCTTTTTCTTTCATTACCATCTTGCCTGTGTTAACTTACATACATATTCTAAGTTTCTTTTCTTCTGTCAATATGATAATGATGAAAAACTTTGTTAAGGCAACAATATTATTGTTCTTTCAATAGTAAAAATATCGCATTCCTATTATTGATAAAGCATAATATAACATCTCATTATTCACTGTCGAGCGTTCAAGTAAATCGTTAATATTTTCTGTTGAAAAGAAAAAAAAATACACACACGAGCATACTTGCATTAAAAAGCCGTCTTCTTCATAGGAACGCATGATAGCAAGGTCCATTTTTTATTTTTAATAGCTTTATGTCCCAACAGTCTCTTTTCACTAGAATTGAGCGCATGATGAAAAACGAACGAGAAAGATACGTAAAAGAAAAAAGAAAACAATAGAAAATGAGAGACTCGTGCACAAAAATGTTAATACAAAATTAAGAAGCTCGACAGAATGAAGAACAAGAAAAAGAAATTATTATGACGCGACTTTTCCCCTCTTGCTTTTATATGCATTCTCTCTCTATCTTTTTGTCTCTAACACTCATTCTTGTGTGTTTTCTATTATAGTGTGCTATATCTACTTTAAATTTTAATGGCATCACCAATTGATACTTTTAAAAACAATCTTTTTGATCAATTGAAATCATATGGTGATGCTGTTCAAGATGCTTTTGAACAACGTATCGGTAAGTTTATTCATTGCATGTCAACTAAATGAAAAAAGAAAACAATAGTTAGATACTTTGGTTTTCATACTAACATAGAGCATGTTCAATAGTCTTTATTCTCATGAGAAATGCGAATTTATTAAAATATGCATAAATAATATTAGTTGCAAAGAGGTGAAAAGTTTAAAGTTTTCCTATACAATGATAACAATATCAAACATGAATATTGATAATTATTTCAATGTTCTTCTAAGAATAATAAAATGATGTCAATGCTTGGCTTTTAGCTCGTCCATTACTTGCATTCAAACGTGATCGTAGTCGACCATCGTCTGCGGTTCGTACATTATCTGAACAAGAACCCGTTGTAAGATCAGAAAAAACAGCATGTGTTACACAGCAAGAATCAGTATCATCATCGTCACCACTTGAAATTATTGATATTGAAACAAGCACTTCATTAAAAACAATATTAGATAAAGTTAAATATACTTTATCGCCATCAACTAAACGACGCACATCAGAAGACTGTTCAGTTGATGATGCAAAAAACCCTACAAGAGAATGTCGCCATTCATCTATTACTTCTCTATCAAATAAAAACCATCGTAGAAATATATTACGTCATCATAAAAGTGTTTCTTTTGCTGACAATGATATTCAATATGATAGTGATACTGATAGAAACAATTCATATTCAACAGATGACCGAAACGAATTTGCACGTAATGCTTATACATTTGGTCATCCTATTGTAATGGCAAGTATTGATGAAATAGGACCAAATCAAATAGATCCAACGGATACATTATCACCTATTGAAAATAATGATTCTGATTTTGAACGTAATTTTCATGAATCAATACGACCACGACGAATTTCAATTGGTAATAGTCAAGACTTAATTTATCAAGATTTATCAGCTGAAATCGTTTCTTATGTATTAAAACATGCATTACGAATATTAGAAAAAGAAGATGAAGATTCATTATTAGCAGAAAACGAAAAAATTATTAATAAACATGAACATAATGATGATTTAATTGATTTAAAATAGCAATTATAAATTTGTACATTTCATTTTTTTGTAAATCTTTTTTTCTTCTATATTGACCAATATTATATTAATCATTGTATCATATTAAAACTTTTAATAAAAGCCTGTGGGAATAAAATAATAAGAACCATTTTTTCTTCTAGTTCGATTTTGCAGGAAAAGTCAATAGTTGGAAGTAAGAGGCTTTTGCATCATTTCTATTATCGAAACAATATGATTATCTCGTTCATATGCAAAATATGCATAATAACATTCTTTTATTTAAGACAATTTCTTTCTATATGCCATAAAACGGAAATCATCAAGAATTGTATTAGTATGTCTCAAACTTCTATTCTGATCCTGTTAGATTTCAATATATAAAATATGTAATTTAACAGAACATGATGCATTGAAAGAAAAACGAAGTGAGGAGAATGCACAATTAATGCTTTATCATTACATAGCCTATATAAAAAATTTATTAATTGATTCATAAAACATAATTAGTAATTTTATTCTTTACTTTAGCTTGAATATTTATTTCGAAATGAGAACGTAATTTCCTAGACAGAAAACATAGAACTATCATATCTCTCGGTGCCAATGAACAATACCAGCATGAAAAACTTAATTTAACAAATAGAATAACTACATACATTTTATAAAAAGCATTTGTTAACGTAAAGAAAATAAGACAATATTGTCATCGATTACTGTCAGAAGCTATTGAGAAAAAGAGATTATGAAGAAACAACCCGAACTGATGCCTTTTGTTTCAGCTCATCTTATGTTCACAAGGAAGGTATCAGTAAGACTGAAAAATCCGAAAAGAATTCGTATTCATGAGCCTCTGGAGCCGGGTTATGAATCTTTTACTGAACTTTCGATTCCGCTTTAGATATTCACCAAAAAAGCAATTAACCTAGTTTCGATTCGATATTTTCCCCATAGACAGATCTAATGACTCGAGGGATATCCTAGAAGTTTCAGCTGAAATAAATATTTTTTTTTCAAGATATTGAATTCCCAAAATATGATCGCTAGCCACAAAAGACGAATTTTGCTTGAAAATTCAATATCTCAACAAAGAAATATTCTTTTCTGCTGAAAAATTCAAGATATTCTAGGAGTTCTTAAATATGTCTAGAGCAAAACGTTAGGTCGAAATTCCCTTATTTAACTTTTCGATAAATACCTAAAGTTGTATCGAAAATTCAGTAAAGGGAGTGTCATAAATCGGCTTCCGAAGCTCATGAGCATGAACCTTTTAAGGACTTTTCTATTCTTACCGAACCCTTGTTGTGAACTCAATATGAGTTCAAGCGGCGGGTATGAGTTTGAGTAGTTCTCTCGTTAACATAGTAGTTTATGCATATTTTTTCTAGATCACTCATCATCAACGATTATTGAATCACATGTGGTCAAGCAAAAAGAAACTTCTCTGTAATTTGTATTGATCAATTGTAATACGAGCAGATGTGGAATCTTTATTGCATACAATTATCATAATGAAGTACATTGCTAATCATGTGTTTACAACAGAGACAATACAGCTACGTTAATGATCAATTTGACGTTTATCTTTGATGATACATATTTGAATGAGAATATTTTTGATCACCAAATTTCTCCAGTGTTCATTTCACACTATTATTTCTCAATGAAGTGTAGGCGCTGCTACAGATCGATGACAAACTCATCTTTGCTCTGCGTTGTTTCTCACTGTCAATCATGCCAATAAGTTATGGTTGTTGTAGACTTGAATAAGAACCAAAGTATAGTGTACAAAATAAACAATATATACAAATTGCAATATTAACCTAGGAATCAATATTTTGAAATGGATATGTAGGTTTTCGACAGATACATGAACTCCATTCATCACTAAATGGTTTGATCAAATATGAATCTGCCTAATTTCTGAAAATAGAATACTGAACGTGGATGGCGACTTATGTATCGTGTACGATTTACTGCTTGCAGAATTATTGCTCGTTAATGACATAAAACACATATTCAAAATCAGTGATTTTCTTATGTGAGGATTTACTTTCAATTGATTATTTAGAAGAAGAGAAATAAGCAAATGAGTAGTCATTGTAACAACCGCTGTATCGTCAGAACAAATTTCCAATAAATTTTTCAAACGTAATTTAACATCACGTACTATTAATTATTTGGAAGGTCAATGTTCTTGGATGATTAAACATGTTAATATCCCACATCTAAGCATTTCCATTCTGATTGATTTACTACAAAGAGAACAATCGCTAGCATTGGCTGGAAGAATACTAGATGACATGAGAGCTTCCACTCCAAAACGTCGCAAAAACAAGTTCATAACAGATTTAATGTTTGATCAAATTGCAAGAACATTATCATGAAGATTGTATTTATATTTCAGTGTTCTTGAAATCTGCTGAATTGAGATATTTTCTACGTCTATGAAAACGTTACACAACCATCTCTACTTGTTTTTTATTATTTGTTCATACATTTATTGAAATGTCTTTTTCGTTCTGAAAATATATTTATTGTTGCGTGATTACTTATTTGCTCATTTCTCTTCTTTCACATAATCAACAGAAAGTAAATTCTCATATAAGAAAAACACTAATTGGAATATGCTCACGATGTAATCAACGGACGGTAGATCATGTAAATCGATAAAAAGTATTTTCTCCTGTACACGTTTTATCTACCATTGACTCTTCAGTTTATCTTAAATTTTTCAGCTTAATTTCTTTGAAAGATATTGTATGATTTAAAAGGATATTACTGTGATCATCATTATCACTAATCAACAAAATCTGATACTTCTACAGGATACACGCATACCCTCATCCACATGCAATGTTGTGCATGTCAGATAAAGCCAATTAGTCTATGATCAAAGCAATGCATAAATAGGATGTGGCGCATTCTCTAGAATACTCCAAAATCTTTTCACAATGATACAGAAACTTTATTCATATAAAAAAATTTGAAGGGGATATAAGAGTTTATTAAACTGGATGATATTTTTGCATGACATTGATTAGATCTTGATATATGATTGCATTTGCTGTTATGGCCCAAACAAAATCGAAATGATTGTAATTAGGAACATATTTTTCGTAGACTAAATTTTGAATATTATCAAAAACATAAGTAGCATCAACCGGATCAGCAAGCCAATCTTCACCTGCCCAGAATAATGCTGTTGGCACTTTCATTGAACGAATAGAATATAGTGGTGGAGTTGTTTGATTGTAATACAGTTGATTTTTTTCCGGTGAACCATAATTATAAGCCTGAAATTGATTTGATCTTCCACATTGCATGAAATGAACCATATTTTTTACGGATGTTCCAGATGGTCCATGTGATGTATAGACAGGTATACGTGAACTATTCAAGTTTTTTTTATCTGGTCCACCGATGATGAATAGCAAATTTTCACAAGTTAAGCGATCGAAGAAAAATTCTCCACAAGCATATTTTCCAAGCCATTGCAGAATAGGTGACGCTGGCAGAAATTCATTTCGACCAAATAATTTGTGCCAATAATGTTCGAGTTCTTTACTGTCAGTATCCAAATATCTTAAAGGTGTTTTTTGATGTCCTATTTGAGCAATTGGTGCAAGAGCTGCCCAGAAACTAACATTCTTTTGAAGATCATTACTCAAATTTCCAAATTCAGCAAAAGCAATTAATGTTCCTTGTGAATGGCCAACATAACCAATTTGTGTATATTTTGTTACATTCAATATGTAATAAATCATTGATGGTAGGTCATCTTTTGCCATCTCATCCCAACTAAAATCCCAAAATTCTTCATCATGATCAGGATTGTATTTAACATGAGCACGTGAATAATAATTTCCACGAACATTACCAAGCCAAACATCATAACCAGCATCAGCAAGAATATAACCAAGACTTTGATCTGGAAAATTCATCACCCATGTGGTAGCAGCATCGAGAAGACCGTGTTGAAGAAGAACAGGTCGACCTGTTGACAAGGATGAGTTTCGCCCATGTGGAATACGAAAAACACCAAGAATATAACCATCTTTTGTAATTACTTTATGTTCATCACATGGATAACCTTTACTTTGAATTAATTGTGTAATATTATAATTACAATCTGGATCAAGTTTTGACACTTGTGACACTGTTATAGGATGGCATAGTAACAATATAAAAAACACTGAAAAACCTAAAACAAGTGATGAGAAGAAGATGATAATTTGTTAAAAATCTAGGTCATCAACAACCAACTTACCCAACATCATCTCTCATGAAGTTCTTGTTTTTGTTATCTTAAAATTCAGCATGGAGATAATAGATGCTGATCTATGCTGTTTCTTATCTTTACATGAAAATCATGTGCCTATGAAGACAAACAACAATAACAAACTATTATGTTAGTGACATATTTTGAAATAAATTCAGTATAAATGAGTAGTCTGTTATTTTCATCGAAGTGACTATTCAAAGATGAAAATGTCAAAACGTGAACCTTATAGTAATATCATAATAGAAAAATTTTGTTTATCAATTGAATATATTGTTCACTCTAAATTCAAATGATTTGGATTTATATCTAAGTCATTTGGTTTGACATGATATATGTCATTATGTTCATCTGTACATTAAGAATATCAATCGAATTTATCAGGAGCACGAAAAAATCATTTCAAAACAATCAAGTAGCGTTTCTAATAATTCATTTTCGATTAAACTTATTTTTAGGCATAATTTAACCTATCATAAAAAAAGTCTATATTCACATCTTGAGCTGAACTAAAATATTTTCATATGATAAAAAAGAAAGGAGTGTCAATATACTTGAAAATACTTCACTTGCTTTAACATACTGTTAAATAAAACGTACAGTCTCACATGAGTAGCACATAGAAAAAAATGATCAGATTTTATAAGATCTCCAAGGTCATCAACATTTATTTTATTTTTTGTTTTTCTTGAAAAACAATCGTTCGTTTGTTAAAAGAAGCTATTATTGTGCATGTTAGAATCAAGAATGTTGTGAACTCTATCTTGTATAAATACATATGATTAAAAAAGAAAAGAAATACAAGAACCAATGAATTAGTTAATTAGGTGGATGATATTTTTTCATTATATTAAGTAAGTCAGCGTAAACAAGTTTATTTGCTGTTAAGGCCCAAATAAAGTCTACGTGATTATAATCCGGAATATATTTTTTATAAACAAGACTTTGAATATTGTCTAAAATATAACTAACATCTGATGGATCAGCAAGCCAATCTTTACCACCTGAAAAGATTGCTGTAGGTACTTTCATTGAATCAATAGAATATTGTGGTGGTGTTGTTTGATTGTAATGCTGTTGATTTTTTTCCGGTGATCCATAATCATACGCTTGGAATGTATTTGACTGCACTCCTTGTGCAAAATGAATCATATTCTTCACAGATGTTCCGTCGGGTTCATGTGATGCATAGACTGGAATTCGTGTTTCATTTAAATTTTTCTTTTCCGGTCCAAAAAGAATAAAGAAAATATTTTCACAAACAGTTCGATCAATTATAACTTCTCCACATGCAAATGTTCCGAGCCATTTTGTTATATAAGATGATGGAAGAAATTCATTACGACCAAATAATAAATGCCAATAAAGTTCTATGTCTTTTACTATAGTTGCAGATGATAGATATCTGATTGGAGATTCTATATGTCCTAGATGAGCAACTGGAGCTAATGAACCATAGAAACTAACATTATTCCGAACAACGCTATCAGGACGACCGAATTCTGCAAAAGCAATCATTGTACCTTGTGAATGACCAACATAACCAATTTGTGTATATTTTGTTACATTCAATATGTAATAAATCATTGATGGAAGATCATCTTTTGCCATCTCATCCCAACTAAAATCCCAAAATTCTTCATCATGATCAGGATTGTATTTAACATGAGCACGTGAATAATAATTTCCACGCATATTACCAAGCCAAACGTCATAACCAGCATCAGCAAGAATATAACCAAGGCTTTGATCTGGAAAATTCATCACCCATGTTGTAGCTGAATCAAGAAGACCGTGTTGTAGAAGAACAGGTCGACCTACTGCTGCTGCTGCTGATGCTGAACTTCGCCCATGTGGAATACGAAAAACCCCAAGAATATAGCCATCTTTTGTAACTACTTTATGTTCTTCACATGGATAACCTTTACTTCGAATTATTTGTGTAATATTATAATTGCAATCTGGATCGGGCTGTTGTATTTGCGGTAGACTTCTTGAACAGCAAGATGAAAATAATAGAAGCAAACATAGAACACCTACAATGGAATTGAGAAAAATGTGATAATAAATGAGAGATCTCGGTCGTTTACAACACACCTACCAAGCATCATATCGTCTTAATTGTTCTGTCTGCTATCTTCATACACGACACTTGCTTAATAGATCTTCACCGTTATTTTTGTTTACTTCGAGATAAAAATGATATGATTAAGAAGATAAAACAGCGAGCAGTGAAAGGATGAGAATCCTCTTCGGTGACTACCTATAAAAGTCAAAGAAAATGAACTCCTGATCGAATATTGTTTAATGAAAAACAACACTGTATATACGAGTAGACGCCATGAAAATGTACATAATGATGAACAAAATTGCGAAAGATTAACAAACTTAATGGAAGAGAACGAAACAGCTTAAATAAAAAGAAACATAATCAACGGAAAGCCTCATTTACTACGAAGCATAGGGCACAAACGGAAAAATTTCTATGATGTGAAAGAGAAAGAAACATCTTGAGATGAATCTTGATCACTCCATGATGCGAACTCTGATATATGAGTGAAAAATATCTGTTTTTAGTAGTGGCTCACGAAAAGATTTTCAGTTGTATACAACTAATCATGTAAGCAGCAAAGAATTAAAATTAAATTCTCAGATTAATTCAGTTTTATTAGAGTAAGAAAGAAATAATATATTGTTCTGTCACTAGTGAATTTATTTATTATATTGCATGTGACATTCACGTGTCGATTCAAATTTATCGAATCACTTCGCAAGATTTTTTTGATTATTTTTAGTTCAAAAGTAAGAATAGTATCTAAAAGTTGAAAAATACTTGTTAAATGTATTCTTTCTCACCATATAATAGTATTTAACGGATGTGGATGTCTTATCACCCTGACACTGACATCTTCAAAGGCATCGACACCTAGAATAAGTTAGTCAGATATTAACTGTAACAGTCGATCTAAACTAAAAATTTTCCACTTCGATATTGTGGGCTCAGTGTTCACTAGTATTTTTATTTAACTGTCAGAAACTTTAAATGACTACTAGCTTTCAGTGTATGTATTCACTACAAAAATGTCAGAGCAGATTCTGTTTGTTTTTCATGAAAGTTATGCCAATTGTTAGCGTCCTGCAACTGTGACATATCTAGATATTAACAAACCAAAGAATATGAAATCTAGTGTGAAAATCGAACTAACGAGGGAACCTTTCCAGGTGTCCCCCTCAGATTTCAATCAATTTCTTCTTATAGATACTACATAGTGTCCTAGTAAAAACTCTAAAAGGGTTTCGGTTTCTACTGCTTCCTTCAAAAGCTATGCCCATTTTACTGAATTTTCGACCCATTCGTATGTATTTATCGAAAAAATCAAATTATCGAGTTTCAACCCAAAATTTTGTTCATTGGTAGGCCTAATGATCCTTAAAATATTCTGAAAGTTTCAGCCAAAAGGAATGTTTCTTTCTCGAGATATTGAGTTTTCAAAAAATTGTCGCTTGCCACAGATAGGTCACAAAATCGAGTTCACTTGAAAACTCAATATCTCAAGAAAGGAGCATTCTTTTCAGCTAAAACTTTCAGAATATTCTAAGGGTCAGTAGGTCTAATTATGGGCGAAATTTCAGGTCGAAATTCGATAATTTGATTTTTGCGATAAATACAAAGGAATGGGTCGAAAATTCAGTAAAATGGTCATAACTTTTGAAGGAAGCAATAGNGAAAAATACCAAGAATATAACCATCATTTGTAATTACTTTATGTTCTTCACATGGATAACCTTTACTCTGAATTAACTGTGTTATATTATAATCACAATCTGGATCATGTTTTTGTACTTGTGATTGAGATACGGAGCAACATAATGAAACCAGAAGAAAAAAATTTGAAATGTCTAAAATACAAAAGAAATAATAATCTGTACAAAAAACTATTAATACTTACAGAATAACATTCTCTTACAATTTATTCTATTCTTTGTTATCACGCAAAACAAAAAACAGATAATAATAATAATAATAATAATGTTTTAGCTTGTACTCTCTTGTTTTTTATGTCAATATATATGATGTAACAGAAAAGATAAAAATGATAAGCAAATATCTTACAATAAATAGACATTAATTCGTATGAAGAAATACATTCAATAGTGTAGTTATATCTTGAACAGTCTAGGATATAATCTATCGTTATTGTACGATAATAGTCATGTGTCACGAGTATATTTATCTCAAGCTCTTTTTGTGAAACATGGTCTACCAGGAAAATCTCTCAAGTGATCAATCACTTTTTCGTAGAAACATACATGACTGTACGCAGTTCACTGCGCCGATTCCGAATATCAGGATCTTAGCGGCCCTTAGGCTTTTCTAGTAGAGGTCTGCGGGACAAACTTTTTCTTGCCCCGAATCTCGTATGTCCCGCAGACCCCTATTTACCATCCAACAAACGAAATATTGGAACATTAATGAAAATTTACTTGTCTGTGGTTGAAGTGTAAGAAAAACAAGATTAATTTGGGGTAAAACTGCCGTTTAAGTACACTCAACTGATTGATGCACAGAGTACACTAATTAAACGGGACGATATGCCTAAGTTATAGCAGCATTGAGGAAAATGAAAAAAAGAAACGATTGTGGACACACTCGAAGGCATCTGGCAGTGATTTTTTCCTGCATTTTTCTGTTATGTGATTTATTTAAATATTAAAATGCTTGTTAGCAATAAGAAGTCTCATACTTACGACGCGCTTTGATATGTAAATTCAGGAAATTCGGGACATCGGTTTTTCTGAATAGTCCCGAATCCTGTTTGCTCCGTCCCGTGGGACGAGACAAACAGGATTTTTTGGGATTCGGAACTAGCCCGCAGACCTCTACTTTCTAGGTTCTGTGTCATAACTGTGAACTCCCTTTGATAAGGATATTTTTCATCAAATTCAATCTTTTAATCAGTCTATCACGTACCACTAGATGAAATATACACGAAAATACTTTTTTATAGACATTTCAACCTCAAGTTTCAATTGTTAAGATGAATCGTGAGGCAGACAAAAGCTAAATATGCAAAAGTACCCTTTTGAGTTTAATATTTTTCGCATAACGAAAAGATAAAGCAATAATTTAATCTTATGTATTGCATTACAAAATCTCGTTTAATTTATCGTTTTATTAAATGTCTTCACAGTGACAATGTTTTATATTTTGAGAAATTAGTATACGTGTTTTCTATTTCTTGCATTGTTATATACTTTTCTGAATATAATTGCATGAAACTTTCAGGATATGTTGGGGCTGGTAAGCGATGGCTATGGTAAAATTGTCAGCCCTATATCATGACGTTTCGCAGAGATATTCACCAAACAAGGGTCAAAAATAGCTCTATCGTAGCGTCAGCAGAACTCTATCCGAGTAAGAGATAAAGTAAAATATTTTTTTGTTTGAAAGCCGTGTCTAGGGCTAGCCTCTCCCGTGGCTCTTTGTTTTTAAATTCTTACTTTCTAAGTGAAGAAAAGGGATGACAAGTTTAAAGACTCAAAACAAACCCCAAAAAGATTGCGCTATTTTTATAGAGATGTTTTCTTATATGAAAGTAAAAGGGCTTTTTTTTAAAAAAAAAACGACCACGAGGGAGGCTAGCTCTAGACACAAGCTTCCAACAAACAAAAATATCTGACTTTATCTCTTACTATGGTAGAGTTCTGCTGGTGCTCCGTCGTTGAGCCGATGTTCTAAGGAAAGCGAAAAATGATTTTCGGTTTTTTGTAAAAAACGGCTTGTTTTTCAAATAGGGGGTGAGGAAAATCTTCCAAAATTTTTGGACAAAAAAGAGGTCCCGAATAAAAAATTTTGTCGCCTATGAAAGAGCAGATGACGGGCTATTTCCCGATGAATTTATCGCAAGTTCGATGACTCTGGTGGAAAGTGACTTTTTTGAGTGGAGGGGGGAGGGAGGAGCTTAAAGTTGAAATGTCTATAAAAAGTACTCCTGTGGATATTTTGTTCAATGGTACATAGTAAACTGATTAAAAGATTGAATTTGATGAGAAAAATCCTTATTAGGAGGGAGTTCACAGCTATGACACAGAATCCAGAAAGGCCTAAGGGCCGCTAAGACTCTGATATTCGAAATCAGCACAGTGAACTTCATACAGTTACGTACGTTTCTACGAAAAAGCAATTGATCACCTGGGAGTCTTTCCTCGTAAGAGAATTGTTGAAGTAGAGTGGTAAAAATTTAGACACCTTCCCCCTTCACGAATCATGAAAGACGTAACCATGAGAACGTCCAAGATCCTATATGAATAACATCTCGCTATAATATATGCAGTACTTCTTTATTGCATTTTCAGAAGATTGAGTAAAACTACGATGAAGAGATGTATTTCCAAATAGATCGATTAATATAGTCTCTCTCTGATTAGCAACAGCAACTACATCATATTTCACATTTTAATCTCGAAGCAATTGAGTTAACAGCTTTTTTTTTCTCTCTTATAACGCATAGAATTGATCAAAATGTTGAACAGTTAAGTCCAGCAGACTTGTTATTTATATACATCATAGTTTTATAAAAGTTACACCTTTATGAAAAAAATAAAAACAAAATAGTTAATTAGATGGGTGATATTTGTGCATTACATTAAGTAAATCAGAATAAATAATTTTATTAGCTGATATAGCCCATACGAAATCAAGATGATTATAATCTGTAATACATTTTTCATAGGCAAGACTTTGTAATTTATCAAAAATATAAGCAACATCGACTGCATCAGCAAGCCAATCATCAGGTGACCAAAATATTGCCGTTGGGATTTTTAATTCATGAATATTATATTCAGGTGGTGTTGTTTGATTATAATGCAAGTAATTTTTTTGAGGTGAACCATAATCATATGCTCGAAATACATTTGATTGAACACCTTGTGCATAATGAATCATATTCTTTACAGATGTTCCATCAGGTGCATGCGATACATAAACTGGAATTCGTGAATTATTCATATTTTTCTTTTCTGGTCCACATAACACAAATAAAACATTCTCACATATTAATCGATCAATTATAATGTCTCCACATGCAAATGTTCCAAACCATTTTATTATATAAGATGATGGTAGAAATTCATTACGACCAAATAATAAATGCCAATACAGTTCTAATTCTTTTGATGTCAATGATAAATATTTTATTGGAGATTTTATATGTCCTAAATGAGCAACAGGTGCTAAAGCACCATAGAAACTAATATTATTTTGAATGATACTATCAGAACGACCAAATTCTGCAAAAGCAATCATTGTACCTTGTGAATGACCAATATAACCAATTTGTGTATATTTTGTTGCATTCAGTATATAATAAATCATTGAGGGAAGATCATCTTTTGCCATATCATCCCAACTAAAATCCCAAAATTCTTCATCACGATCAGGATTGTATTTAACATGAGCACGTGAATAATAATTTCCACGGACATTACCAAGCCAAACATCATAACCAGCATCAGCAAGAATATAACCAAGACTTTGATCTGGAAAATTCATTACCCATGTTGCAGCCGAATCAAGAAGACCATGTTGAAGAAGAACAGGTCGACCTGTTAATGATGATGAGTTTCGACCATGTCGAATACGAAAAATACCAAGAATATAACCATCATTTGTAATTACTTTATGTTCTTCACATGGATAACCTTTACTCTGAATTAACTGTGTTATATTATAATCACAATCTGGATCATGTTTCTGTACTTGTAATACAATCACCGGAGAAAATACAATGAATATCACTAGAAGAGTTAAAATCGCTAAAATATTAAAGAGAAAAAAAAAATATTATACGTGATAAATTTAACTTCTCTAGAAAAACTACACCTACCCAACATCATCTCATCCAAATTTTTTTTTTCTTGTTACCTCGATACACAACACATAGATATAAGATTATTCAATCTATATTTTCACTTACCTCTTATTGGAAAAGTGTATATGTAATATCTTCAATGGAAGCCTAAAACAAATTATATTCTTAAAGTTTGCTTATACGAGCAATATGTATGTTTACCCTTTTTTATCAGTAAAGTTTATCAAATTGTACTAAAAATAAGTTTTTCACAATCTAAAGAACTAAAAAAAAAAAACATAAAATTTATATTCGTATTATCTCATTAATGGAATATATAAACTGATATTTAGGAAATTAAAAAAAATGGTAAATACTTTTATCCTGTGACTGTGTTTACAAAAAAATAAACACCAAAGATCGAAGCGGTGTTTTATCCATCGTAGGTGCCGTGCTTCTCAGAAGATCGAGTTGGCCCTTTCAGAGTTTGTAATTCTAGTACTATGTACTATGTATATATATTCCCAGTAATAGCTCTGCGCCTTCCTCCAAGATAAAATCTGAATGAAAACACTGAGAGGATTGACCTAATTTTTTAAAAGGTTTCAATTCAACCAATTTCAATTCAGTTGAAAACCAAGTCGAGTCCATCTCTGATAAACATCCATTTGAATAACAAACATAAGCTATAATTTGACACTACACGCACCTTTTAAGGAGCTAAAATAAAAATAAAGATTTCTTCAACAATATGTCCTTGATAACCTCTGAGTTTTTATTTTTTTTACAATGTGTAAAACGATACGTATTTCATAAATAGCCAATATTCTATACATATTATTTCTGTTTAATACATATGTTATTAGAAAAGTTGCTTATATTAAGTATATTTCTATTGAAATATTTTATATTCATTCGATTTGATGTTTTCATTGACGTATGAAAATTGCAGGAGTCGACCTCTTCATGAAAATAGATGTCATCAGACTTACATTGTTATTTATTGGTGTATTTACAAAAATGAAATATCGATTGATTGATTCCTACAAGAAAAAAGAAGAATCTAGATGGTGCTCTCTTTCTCTTTCAATGATAACATTTCTAGCAGTCAAGGATAAGCCAATAAGAAAAATCAATTAAAATGCAATAGATATCCGTAATAAATATATTCAATAAACAAAAAAACATATTTTTTATTTTTCTTAGTCTATTTTTTTAGATGGATCAATATATTGGATCTCCTAAGTTGGCAACATATTTACATCCAGGTCCTAGTGGACCATTCCTTGAATTAAACAATGAACCAGTAAAACCACCATCACCAAGTACATCAGCTTTATTACAACATAATCCAAGTTTAATTGATCTTTGTACATTTAATTCATTATGTCAACGACTTGTTGAAAATTCCTCAACATCAAATACATCACCATATAAACCATTTGTCAATCCGTCCGATTTATATTTTTGTATACCACCAATGACACAAATTGATTATTCACCCCCAGCAAATGATTCAAATACAAAATCCAATATAATATCTGATTCAACAACATCACCCATTAGTTCAGCTGGTGATTGTAGTCCAAATGTATCATCATATACTTCAACACCATATTCAAGTCCTAAAGTTAAAAATCTTCTTCAACAAAATTCTCCACTTGATTTGTGTGTGACAAAAGATATTTCAACAACAACAATTATACATCAAAACAGTAGTGAAAATATATCAAATTATGAATTATCAGGTAAAAGAAAATTATTTTCGTTTTATTTTATTTCGATTTTTTTATTTTATTTAATTAAAGATTTTCTTAATAAAGCTGAAAAATCTTCAACAGATTATATAAATAGTCAATGTGATAATAAAAATGTAAAACAAGTTATAACTAAACATTCTCATACATCACCTATTCTTCATCGTTTGCTTACATCTCCGACAAAACCAAATGAAATTTCTTCAGTATCAAATCAAAATGATTATGTCGATAATGTTAATAATAAAAGTCCACAATATCAACCACGATATTCTCCTTTTTATGTACCTGATACAAAAATTACACCAAGAGATTATTTAAACAAGTAACTGAGTCATTGTAGTTTTTTTCGAAATTAACGAAACAGAATTGCCATGAGTAATCAATTAAAAAAGAGCAGAACCGATTAGTTTAATTGATTAAATATGGCGCTTAAACCGCAATGAGTAGCGTGTATAAATATGAGGACAGACTGCGTTGTAAAAGAATATGCACTTTGGATTTTTTCTAAATTAAAACTATTCCAGAACCAGTTTGCAACATAAAAAGAGACATGAATGTATACAAATGGAACACTGAATTGTATTGTTTTTTTTTAAATTTGGAATCTTAACTGTTCTCAATAGAAAATTTTATTTGCTGGGTAGTTCATAAAGTTCGAAATAAAAAAGTCTCCCAAGGATATAATATGTAACACATTATACTTTCTAAATAAAAGTAATATTAAACATTTGATTGCTATCTTTAATTATTTTCTTTGGCTAATTTGCACAATATATTCTCTAGGCAAAATGACATTATTGAAATTTGCTAGATACAAATATTTTTCTTTATATCCTAATAGAAATCGCAAAAATTTTCGTCAATCATGTCGCTCACCTGTATTTACTCGACGTCCACCTGAACAAGATCAAACCACAATTGAAAGTGATAGTAATAGTCATAAATCTCCATTTGATTCATCAATTCAGCCAACAGCTTTACTTTCATTAGATACAAATGGTATTTTCAATATCAATGAAACTCATACAAATAATTCATTATCATCATCATCATCACCAACTACAACAACTAATAATAATAAACGATTCTTAGAATCATTTTCATCAGAACAAGTTTTAGTTAAACGTCGACAAAAAGCATCAATACCGAGTGAGTTCATACAAATGAATAAATGTGCCAAAGTTTTGATAATATCTTTAACAAGAAAGAATTATACAATCAAATATATAGACAGATAGTCCATTTTTTTAAAATTAAAGATAAACTTCACTTATTTAAGAATACTAAAATATTGATACCAAAATTTGTTGAAATCATTAGCATTATCATCATCAGTTTTATTATCTTGAACAATGATTAAAGTTTGCTTGCCATATGTTTCAAACAGATTCTTTTGATATCATGTTTATAGAGAATTATTCGAGTCTTTTTAATGCACGCAAAAATTCATTTTGCTATAATTTTAAATTTTTTTCTTAAATCACATCTAATTAAATAATTTCGTTTTCTTGAAAAAGAAAACAAACATTGGATGAAAGAAATATCTGTATACTATTTGTTAGTAATCGTCAAGGTCTAGCAGCAAATGGCAGCGTAATGTTTTGAATTTATCGTAGATTCAATAATCTTTATAAGGCCTCCACTGCAAGGTTAAGAATAGGAAGGAAGAGAGCGAATCTTTTTATGTCGTTCAGATGACAGACAATTTGTGCTTCTTATTTTCTTTCACTATATACTTTGTACTGGATATAGCTGATGAGATTTAGAAAAAAAATTCACAATAGATATGTACTTAAAGACCCACGCCTACATTTGTTTTTATTTAATTTCGACTCTGGAAATAAGACGTTTTGATATACTTTACTGGAAAATAGAATACCGGTGTAGCAGTAGTGTTTACAGAAAAGAAAAAGAAATTACATTATGAATTGGCTCATTTTATTGAAAATGTTTTTTAGGCATTTAAATTCACCTATTGAAGGTGAGGAAAATTTTCGGCAGCTTGTAGTTTATCTAACTTGAGTTTTCGGTACAGTTGTTACAAAAAGCCATTGACCTAAAATTTGCTTATACAAAATTCAATGTTTCCTAAGTTTGTTTCACTACGAAAATCTCATTGAAAGCGGTGAAACATTATTACAACTGTTTAAATCTACTAATCTGATGGGGCAAGAAATAAATATTTGAGCCTACTGAAGCCTCGTAGTTCTGCTGCCAATGTCTATATCCCATATGATTAGTCAAAATTTCATATTACAAACATTTTTTTTCGACAGTCAAAGTAATTAGTACGTAATTTAAAATCAATATGTCCAATCAAAGCATTTCCTACACATAGTTGTAGAGGAAATCATAGGCTATTTTGAAGTAAAATCGATCGTCTACAATACTTCTATCTTTATGCAAATTATTCCTCTTTTTTTTTTTCGTTTAATAAGCAAAATAATTTTTGTGATTTTTTAATAGCGATCATTATTCAACAACATTATTGTATATCATATCCAAATAATATTTCACGTTGTATTGATTGTCAAATAGCTAATCCAAGTGATGCTTCAATACATCTTACTGGTTGTCGTTTCCAACACTGTCGAACGTAAGAATTTAAATTTTTTATCTCATGTACAGCCATGTTAACGTCAATGAAATTCAAGAATTGTCTCATACATATGAGACTGGCTGTGTGTGTTACATGGCTAGTTGATCTCATCAATTTGAAATAAACAAGATTAATTATCGAGACTATAGTCGTATAGAGATATATGTTTTTTTTTGTAGACTGCACGGCAATCACATTTGTAGAATTGAACATTTTTCAGTAAAAGAAAAAATTCGAAGAAATATTTTGCTATCAAATTTTCAAGAGAAATATAAAATAAGATTTCGAACATACTACAAAAAGAACATAGAAGCTACGATAGTCTTCCTTTGAAGAGAAAAACATTTCTTTTCAAAATTTAATAATTGAAAGTTCTTTTACTTTTTCTTTTCCTCTAAATATAGAATTCTTCAACCGGGACGAGAAACCTTCTTGTTCATCTCTATTTATTACTCACCAGCGTCTATTGCACATATAGTAATTAAATAGAAATGAAAATCATTTTTTTTTTAATTTCTATTTAGACTGAAAGATTTCGGTGATGATACATATGAAGTTGAAGGATTTACTACATCTACTGAAACTAAAATACAAGATACAGAATCGTTATGTACATCAAATTCAAGTAAGATAAATTATTTAATTCAAAACAAACTTTTTTCATTTTGAAATTTCCTTAGGTGGTCA